TTCATAAAGAAAAGCAGTCCTTCTTTAAAGCCACTGAGTTTTGTGGTGGTTTGTTAAACACCTGTGGGTGAATTGTAGGTAGATATTTAGATATTTATATTTTCTTTTTTAAGTCCTCATCTTTTAATCCCATCATGTTTTTTATATCTGTCTTTATTGACTGATTTTCCCTTATTATGGGTCACATTTTTCTGCTTCTTTGTAGTAATTTTTGACTGGATGTTGGGTATAGTAAATTTTACCTAGTTGAGTGCTGGATTTTTTTTAGGAGGATTTGTTCTGGCAGGCAGTTAAGTTAGTTAAAAATCATTTTGATCTTTTTGAGGCTTGATTTGTAAGCCTCTTTACTGCGAGTCTAGAGCACCCTGTACTCTAGCATGGGGGGCCCACTTTTTGTGACGGGATGTAGAAAGTGAGTGTTTTTGCCCAACACACCGTGTTTTAGGCTGTTCCAACTGCTCAGCTTTGCCCCCGCAGTGCAAAAGCAGCTGTGGGCAGTGTGTAAGCCAGCAGGTGTCGCTGTGTTTCAGGAGCATTTTATTTATAGAAACAAGCGGCCGGCCGGCTTTGGCTGTGAGCTGTGGTTGGCCGACCCCTGCGCCCAGCGCCCGGGCACCAGTTCTCCACCGTCCCGGGTCCCGTGCCACTCTCAGCTTCCACCCACGTCTCCAGAGACCTGTTGTTTCTTTTTCCTATCCGTCCGTATTCGCCCTATTGACAACTGTAGCTGAGGAATCTTGAAATGTTTATTTACTAGATAACACTTAACCTATTATGTTAGCGTAAGTAACGTTTTTGAATGGAAAATAACTGTGTCTTCCCAAACAAACAAAAATAGTGAGAAGAGCGTTATTGTTTTACTTGTTTGTGGATCTCTTTAGAGTTTCACTTAAGCAAAGACAGTTGGAGTCTCACACGCGTTTCTTCATTAAACATTCTACAACATCCCGTGTCAGCTAGCATCTGGGAAACACCACTGTATACTCAGGAGAGAATGACTCTGAAGAAGATACATAACGTCTTAGTATTATTAGGAAAATAGTGATCGTGTTGATTCACTGAAAGGGTCTGGGGATCTCCCCACCCCCGGTGACTCCCAGGTCACTCTTTGAGATCACTTCTCGAGGACAAGATTAGCCTTGTGGTTTACAGATCTTGATCCTTCTGCGATCTCAGATGAACGTCCGGGTATTTGTAGGGATATTTGGACTCTCCATTTTGGTTGTTGGGAACTCTAATGATTCCCTGCCCTGTGTCACCTCTGGCAACTGTTTTGATCATTGCGTCCCAGTAATTGTTCTTTCCTGAGCAGTTGTGCTTGGCATGTCTGTGTGCACTGTTACCCTGTGCCGGTGCAGACTGCTGTTGGGTCACAGGCTCTAGGGGACTCCGTGCAGGTGTCCGGGTGTCCGGGTGTCCGGAGCTTTCCCTCGGCAGGCAGAACCCCTCCCTCAACTCAGAGAGAGTGGGCGGTCCTGTCCGGTCTGTCACATGATCCACCTCGGTTGTTTCCGTCTCTGGGACCTGGTGGTTCTGTGTCTGCAGACAGTTTTCCGTCCGTGTTGTCTGTTTACTCTAGTTGTTTACGGTGGGAGGGCAAGTCCTGGAAAAATTATCTCTTCGTGGGGAGACAGCCCTAACTTTTTGTTTTGCCTTTGTTTTTAGCCATATCTGCGGAAACTTTTGCATTAAGGTCTTACATGTTCCATTAAAACATGGTCTTGGTTGTCTCAGCCTTCCGTGAGAATTTGAACTTCAATATCCTGTGAACAACATTAGAAACAAACCCTCACACAGAGAGGGAGTTTTCCACCTTGAACCAGGAACAAAGAAGAGTGTAATCATTTATATGTATGAAAATCATTTGTGTGCTTTGCGTTTCAGGAGAGTTTGCAGACTTTTTTATGTTCCATTCACATCTCAGTCTCTGGGTAATAACATATCTCGCGTGTTAACAGGAAATGATCAACAATTTTATAACTACTTTGTTTTTTTTTTCAGTGTTAAGTCTTGTACCCCAAGAGTCTGTAGTTACTCTTAGTATAGTGCAGTCATACAGACTGCAGAACCTGGCTCGGTGCATTGCTGGATGTGTAAATGAGGACCAGTTGCTTAACTTTTGATCTGAGCTTTGGTTTCCTCACCCATAATGTAGGCATCTCGATGTCATATTAAAGAGGAATTAGACCTAGAAACAGAGCTTCTAATAAACAGTGCTTTAGTCAAAGTGGAAATTTGCTTCTTTCCCTCTCCCTACAGGAGGAGCCTGGCAGTGCAGGAGTGGTGTGGCAGCTTGGGGCACCCAGATTCCTTCTCTCGCCACTTCCCTGTTCTCAGCTCACTATCCTGTCCCCACCGTTGCATCATCTTGTCCTTGTCCCAGGCAGCAGGAAGGAGTAGGTGGGAAAGGTCAAAAGGCCATGTCTTCCTCTTTCACTCAGTCATTTGGTTGAAACCTTACTGGTCATAACTTGGTCTCTTGGTCATGCCTGGCTTTAAGGGAAGCTGGGGAAGGTAGCCTTGTGTCTGGATGTTTTGCAGATAAAAGGCAAAAAGGGCTGTTAGGTTGGCAATTCGGAGTGTCTGTCACTAAGGCCTTCTGTGGAAATTTCAGTGGTTTCCAATCAGTTGAGAAATTATTCAGGAGTCAGCAGGTGGAGACCAAAATACCATCCTTAGAAAACTGACAAAGCTGATGTTTGAGAAGGGGGTGTGTGTCCTCAGTCCAGTGTGTTTGCTGACATTGAACCCTAGAGCCAAACAGACCCGTCCAGTCATGAAAGTGCTAGGCCAGGTGGGGCCTGCCCTATTAAATCTGCGACAGGAAGGAACAAAGTGGAGGGAGTAGTGGGAGGGGAGGCTGGGAGTGCTACTTGTGTCATCAGAAGTGGGAAAGGGTTCCCCTTCCCCTTCTTCCTTCCTGCAGCACCTTTTCTGAAGGTTCAGCAGGGTGCCTGGCATATAGAAGGCATTTAGCTTATGGTGATGATTATTGTAATGATGGTCTGAGCAAATTGAGTAGCTGATAGTATTTCTCATAATCCATGCATTTAATCTTCCCCCATGCACTGCCATTTTAAAGTCACCATGGGAAAAATTTATAAATAATTTAAAAGGGCTTTACAGATATCTTTTGGAGTAATAGTTATAAACTTTTGGTGAGGTCACAGTTTCCTTTGCAAATTTCATGGATCAGTGTGTATGGCATACATTTTACATATGATTTCTGGGGATACATGGACCTTAGGATAACATCCCATGGTGTAGATAAACTTTTAAAAAGCATAAGTACTTACATATTACTGTAAGCTGGTGTCAGTGACTGGTGAGTAAGTGAGCACAATTAATTAGTGGGAGGGTGATAGTTTAAGGTCGTGTGCCGCTGACAGACCCACATTTGAACTCCTACTTTTTGACCTTAACCAGTTATTAGCCTGAGTATTATTGTTTTTTTAATCAATGAAATGAAGGTAATAGTAACTCCTATATCACAAGGTTGAGAGTAAATGAGGTTAATACACCCATAAACTTCTGGGCCAGACACAGAGTATTCACTCGCTATTTGCTGCTGTCACTGTTGTTTTTACAATGATTAGTGGTGTTGTTATTCTTTGCCTTTCTAACCTCATCCTGATTATCTTGTAGGTTCTAGTGACTAAGTTGTCCTGAATTTCATAACTTGGAGAATAATTTTATTCTGAGCAAAAGGCTTGGTCCTTTAGATCTGCTTTCATTAACAAAAGAAGTCCTTACGAGTAATCTTCATGATCTGTGATCTCTCTGCAGTAAGAAAGACCTTTCACTGCCCACTGATGGCCCATCAGGGAAAAGATCTCTTGTATGCCCTTCAGAATTTCCCCTTCTTCCTTTGCTTCCTCTCCTGTCTGCTTCCTGGCCCTGCAGAAGCAGAAGGATGTCGGTCTGATACTCTGGCCTGTGTTGAAACCTGGTAATGGTATTTATCCTGTCAGCAGTTCCTGGGTAGTTAGTGTTTTACATCTTCATCTGTCTTTATTATTTGAGGGAAAGTCCTTAACTTTCCCCATTCCTCTCTGATGAATAGCTTCAGCTGCACCAGTTCGGTCCCTCACTAAGAGATGCAGGTCCCCCGCTGTTTTTATAGGTTGACTTTTGACACAGACTCCTGTTCACGGAGCCCATTGTGATTGCAGTAGTGCTGGCTTCTGCCAGAACTTAGCTTCCAAAGCACGTTTAAATGGACTTCCTAGTGGTTCTTTCGGTTGATGTTTAAAATTGTCTGATTTTTTCCTAATGACCAAAATAACACATGCTTATTGTAAAAAATTCAGAAAACATAGAAATCACAAAGAAGAAAATAAAGACCTCCCATAGTTCCACCTCACCAAAATAGTCACTCTTACTGTTTTTGTATGATTTTATGCAGGTTTTTTTCTATACATATATATGTTTATATGCCTTCAAAATAGTTTTTCTGTGATTAATTTTCTGTTACATAGTCTTTGCTCACCTTTCTTAATAGGCACACCTTTAAAACAGCAGAATTTTATTTTTGCATTCAGGACCAGATCCTACTTTCTGTTTTTTAAAAAATGCTCTTCTGTTTCCTGGGCTTCATTTCTCACTTAGCCAGTTATTTTCAAGTATTAACATAGGAAATGAAGTAACTGGTGGAAACGAAGCTTTTAGAATAATTTCTTTGTCTGAAACATAAGTGGAAAGGACTGGGGTCCAGCGTGCTTGTTTACACTCTCAGGTGCCCACCCTGGCTCAGCTGGCCCCTCTCTGCCCCGTCTCTTTGTTGGCCATGCCCCAGGTGAGCCACGTCCGTGTCGGTGGCGTGTGTGTCTGCGCTCTCACGTGGTCTTCATTTCTGTCACTGTTAAAAGAACGTGGAATTGTTCAGTTACATACTGGTTTACCAAACCGTTATTTTTCAGGTCAGGAGAGAAGGTGTTTTGGCTCTAATCTTTTCATATGCTAAAGGTCCTTTTCATATGCTTTCCTTTCGTTGCCTGTAGGAGAAAAACAACAGTGAAGACATTATGTATTTATGCGGACTACAAATCCGACGAAAGCTATACTCCAAGCAAGATCTCAGTCAGAGTAGGAAATAATTTCCACAACCTTCAGGAAATTCGGGTATGTTTTCACATTTTAAAATATGTACGTCATCATGTAACTTACGCTCTTTTGAGAATAGTCATGTTAATATTAAATTAGAAATTAAATATGAATACAGGGGTGGTCAAAAGTAGGAAAACAGTCTTTTATATGGAAAATAATACAATAATTAATAAATAATAATATAAGAATAAACTATGTTTTACATACAACTGTAAGCCTACTTTTGCCAGCTGCTACATATAAAAGTAGAATTGTTGATATTTAAGAAAACACTTTTAATTTTTATAATATTTTAATTTGTTTTCAATTTTAATTGTCACCTTTAATTTTTCCCAATATTTTATTGTGGAAGTTTTCAGACATACAGACTGAAATATGTGAAACACTGGAAAAATAAGTATTTCATTCCTGATGTGTGTGGCATGTGTTTGAAACGTTCGCTAGATGTCACTGTTGTCCTTTAATTACCAGACTCATATCTCCGCTTAATAAGTTTAAGACCTGAAGTAGTCTTAGTTGTACTAGTGTTTCCGATACACACACACACACACACACACACACACACATACATACACATACATTCTTTGATACATTTTTGAAAATGTACATCTTCATACGTGATTTCTAGATTTATGTGTTAAATATATGTTTTGTGTTCTGTTGTAAATTGGAGAAACTTTAAATGACATTTGGACCATTGTGGAACACTCTTAATTTAGTCTTCGCTTCTATTATATCATTTAAGTGAACCATTAGCCATGTCGAATAAGGGCTCTTTTAGGTACTGTCTTAATTTTATTCTCAGTGTGTTTATATTTCTGTGTAGTGACCACATAGCCTCATGAGACCAGTAATACTAAATATTACCAGGTGATAATGTAAGTTGTTTTCCTGAAAAACTTAATGAACATACTGCTTTTCTGCCGCAGTTCTCACTGAGGAACCATAATTCTTGTGTTTTGCTTTAAAATATTAGTGCTGCCTTTGCAGCACATGACATAAAGGAGACTTCATCTTTTAATAATACGTTTTTATGTGTGACTTATTTTGTTTACTTTTTTCTTTTTAAGTTAAATAAGAATCTCATAGCACTTTGTTTTTTAAGGGAAAATAAGCAGATCATGAGTTTATTTCTTATATTCTCTTTTAAGATCGAAATTGTTATTTAAAAAATTTTCTGCTTCTTCTGACTCAGATAGTAAGTGATTAAAATAATGTGAACTTTGAGATTTTAGAGCCATCATTTCATTAGGTACAGGACTGATTTAACTGAGTGGAAAATCCAACTAAACCTTTTTATATTTTTCCATGGGTGCTTGCCCACTCGAGGGTGTAGTGTGTATTGGAGTGTTTTAATAGGTTTTCCTTTTTTACTAGAAATTATGGATATGTTTATTTGAAACACTCTAAAATCTATTTTCTGTCATTTTAGTAGTGATTGGAGTAGTAACTAAAAAAAATTTAGTTCAGGGTGAGAAAAGCTAATGGCAACGTTATTTATCCAAAGACTATTCTTTTTTTTTTTCACGTGTTTTCCTTCATGTCAGTTATGAAGCATGAATTTATACTTAGGTGCGTATTGCCTTTGTTGAAAAATCTCTGCAAAGAGATGAGACCCCCTCCTTTACTGTTCTAGAATGCACATGTTAACTTCTAGATATGCGAAGGGACTTAAAGTGGTAGTGAGGGTTTATATGTTCTGCTTAACGGCTATAAGATACTACAGCTGGGTTTGGCCAAATGGAACATTTTTGATACCAAAGATAACTTCAGTTATGCTGCTTATTCTACTTTCTTTTTTCTTTTTTTCAAAATTATCTGTCCTATGCAAATCAGAAATCAACAACCTAAGAACATTTTGTAATATGTTTATAATTTATTTCTTCTACACAAGAGACTATTTCTGAATAGAAGTAAGGTTTAACGCTTGTTTAGCACGAGTCTTTCTGTCATCATCGTTTCAGAATACAGGATTTCAGTTATGTTACTTTTATGCAGTAAGTCTTGCTCCTGTGTTCAAGATGACATTCAAGAGAAGTTTTTGAATAAAGATATAAGTGCTTTTAAAATTTTTAAACCTTTATATTTCAGCATTATGCTTTAGTTTAATGTTGTTCTTTTTCTTTGCTCTCGGAAGGGAAAATATATGTGAAGGAAACTTTTTGCTATTAAGATTGAAGAGCCAATGAATATTATTATACCTTAGATGTGACTATTTTAACATTGTAGAAAACATCTCCAGCTAAAGTTCAAGAAAACTCAGTTCTTTTCAGTTTGCTGACTAGATACGGTCATCCCTCAGACACCCCCACCCCTGACAATCGAAATCCATAGCTGTTCAAGCCCCTTATATAAAGTGGGGTGGTACTTGCATATAACCTCTGCACATCCTCCTGCACACTTTAAATCATATCTAGATTACATATACTACCTGATATAGTGCAAATGCTATGTAAACAAGTGTTATACTGTGTTGCTTAGGGAATAATGCCAAGACAGAAATGCTGTACATGTTCACAATGGAAGCAGCCATCAGCAGCCTGACTACATAGTACATGTTAGCAACAATGTAACATTTTCCCCCGAATATTTTGATCATTCATGGTTGGTGGAATCTGCAGATGTGGAACTTGCAGATACAGAGAGCTGACTATATTTTTCTTTTGAAAAAACTACCGTAGAAATGTTTGTACTGAAATATAAAACTAAAGCGGTGTGTTAGACACATAGCCACAGTGCTCACAATTAGTTCTGGGAAAAACAACTTGTAATTTACGTAAGGTCAGGTGGATACTTTGCCAGCATGTGTGGAAGTTGTCCTTTGGTTCATTCTTAGAATTTTGCTTCCAAAATTTGTCATCAAATTTTATCCTGTGGCCACAGAAGGATAAAATATTGATGGAACACAAGATGGAGCACTTAACTGAATTTTAAGCCTTTTCTCATCCTTGGTTAATAAAACTGTTAACAAGTGATTTTTTTTAAGGTGGCTTGAAACAAGTCTTCCATGTTAACAGGGCTGTATGACATTTTTTCCTTTCTTCCATCCACACGACGAGCCTTTGGCTCTCTTCCTTGTGCACTAAATCAGTGGCATGCCTGTGGGAATCTGTATACGGCACTTTGACAGAAGTGGTTAATAAATCAGCTCTTCTATTAAATAGCATTTACTTTTATAAATTGAGTTCCATTAATGTGTGTGGTGGAATAAGAAGATGGAGACAAGAACTCTGGCTCTAGCAAATGATGTTACAACCTACTCAAATTTACTTTCTTACACAGCTTGATATAAAGTGGGATGATTTAGGCAGTATCTGCAAAGATAAATTGGATTGAGTGTTTCATTTATTGAGGCTTTGGAAAAAATGGATTTTGTTGAATTCAGCTAAAAGAAAATATTTTTTAAAATCAGTTTTTGTAACTAAATTTAGAATGTCCTTGAAATGAATATAGAATGCTTTTGTGATACGCATAATTTTTAGACCACACATGTTATTCTCTCTTATCCCTCACTTAAAAGTAACATATGCAATTAAAAAATTATTCATAATTATATACTTATTTCTAAAATGGAAATAAGTAATTTCCATTTACTTATTTTTAAGTAAATGGAATAAGTAATTTTCCAAATTACTTGTAAGTAATTATTGAGATAACTGTGCATTTGGGCTATATTTCCTTTTGAGACTAAAATATTTTACACAATAGAATAGCATATGTTTTTAAGAGAGAAATATTCTTGTCCCTCTCAGACCGCAAACTCAGACTATAGATGTTTGAAGAGGTGCAGTCGGGCATTTGCGTACAAGATGAGTTCTTGCTTTATTTGGTGAACAGTTACTGCGGGCTTGCTCAGTGCCTGGCACTGGGTGAGGCGCTGGGGACACAGCAGAGCCAGTCAGGTTTCTGCCCTTAAGCACTTCACGGTCTGATGGAAGAGACCGGCAGGTAAATGATAACAGGTAGATAACAAATAGACAGAGGGGCTGTATGGACTGTGACAGCAGTGGCTTAAAAAGTTTTTCTACTGACTCTTCATGAAGACTAGAAAGCCCTCTCGGGTGCAGAACAAAGTGGGGGCACCTAAAAGAAGGTGTGGAAGCCTCAGAGCCAGGCTTAATGACAGAAGTGCGGGCAATTAAGTGTGCCTGGAAGCTGGGTGGGTGGGGAGGGAGGGGCAAGAAAGACTGGAGAAGAAGTATTTATGCGTTCAACACATTTGTTGTGATAGTAATATGGCCTCTGTATGTGAGGAGCCTACATTCTCACAGGAAATAAATATATAATTGTGACAGTGAAAATATGTAGGCAAAAGTCGGATTGTGCTTATTGGCAGACGTTTAGGGAGGAAATGGTGATAAAATTCAACCTTGGGAATGCTGGGGCTAGAGCAATGTGAAGACCAGGTGGGTAATATCCAGTGAAAATTAGGAGGATTTTACTAAGGCTGTTGGTTTAACTAAGTAGAGCTGAAGAGAAAGGCCTATAAACCAAAGAGTCACCAGTTCGAGTCCCAGTCAGGGCACATGCCTGGGTTTCAGACCAGGTCCCCCGTGGCGGGTGTGCTAGAGGCAACCACACACTGATGTTTCCTTCTCTTTCTCCTTCCCTTCCCCTCTGTCTAAAAATAAATAAATAAATATAAAAAAGAACAAAGAAAAGGAGCATACCAGGACTGGAACTATGGAAATGCTAACATTCAAGGATACAAAAAGATTATCCAATGAAAAAAGCTGAAAGGGGGGTGGGGGGAAGTAGAAGAGTTAGGTAAAGGGGAGGTAAGTAGTGATGGAAAGAGACTGCACTTTGGGCGGTGAACACACAATACAGTAGGCAGAAGACATATTACAGAATTGTGCACTTGGAACTTACATAATTTTATTGACTAGTGTCACTCCAATACATTCAATAAAACATTAAAAAATAATATAAAATGCACAAAAAGAAAAAGAAAAAAGCTGAGAGGAGCTGCTGTAGGTAAGAAAGTCAAGAGAACACGATGCCGCAGAGGCCGA